TCTTCTGGAATTGAGGTTTTGTAACTATTGTAATGCATAATTGATCAAAAAACATGAATATTATGTATTTTAGTAATCATTAAATATAAAAAGTAAAATTTTATTAGAAATGCATCTTATAAGTTAAGTTGCATATATATGAATCAATATGATTTGTCATAATGAGCCATAGCGCAGTATTGGTTCTAGTCCTACTGTCATTTCTATGAATACAGCATGGCGAGAGTTCACTCACACAAAGCAACAGATGAGAATGGAAGTTCTGTCACAGCAAAATCACTGCATTCTTTAAATGTCTTCTGAGTTATAGGCTAAAAACCACAGAATAACCTATCATCACATAGTATTTTTAATAGCCTCTTATAACAATTCAATTAGGTCTGTCTCAAAATTTGTTTTAAAACTAAAAAAGGAATTGCCACCCCATCAGTAGAATTATTCATTTTCTTAATTCCTGTGAAACATACAAAAAAGGTCTTACAGAGATTCATCATTTTTTTTCAGTCAGAGGCTTCTTGTTTATCCTATGTCACTGAGAAAGGATTGGGAAACCGAAATACTGTTCATTTCAACATCCTATGGCAAATAAATAATAAATAATAAAAAAAATATATCAATGAATCAACCAACCAACCAACCAACCAACCAACGAATAAAAACGTTTTTATCTTATGACTTGTTTTACATGTACTGTAACAGTAATACCTCGGTTTGCAAGCATAATTCGTTCTGGAAACAAACTACTCATATTAGAAGACATTGCTCGTTTTTCAAGTTAAAATGTATTATTAGGTTGGTGCAAAGGTAATAGCGGTTTTTGCTATTGTAATGGTAATTTCGTAATGGCAAAAACCGCTATCACCTTTGCACCAACCTAACAGAAATGTTTGCTCATCTTGCAGAACACTCGCAAACCAAGTTACTCGCAATCCAAGGTTTTACTGTATTTCTGAAAAAACATAACACCTCAGAGCTGAAGATCAAGCTCATTTAGTTTAAGGAGAATGTCTACCATATCACATAAATGGCAAAGCCTATAGTTAATGCCAAACCAATCAGCCAACAGAGGCTTACTTTTTCAGAAAAATGACTTAAAATGTCCAATTCTAATAAATATGTTAATCCATGTCCCCACATCTCATCTTAATTCTAAAATTTTGGTAAGCAACAGACCCTTACATGAGCTTGTCACTTGGATGAAACAAGGAACTGCCCCTCTCAGCCTTTTGCCCTTATCTCAGGAATGACATTCTTTAATAATAAAGAGAGAATGAAAAGGTAAGGCCATTTCATGAAAACTCTTACCATTTTGGGAATTCACACTAAAACACAGGCCAGTTTCTAACATGAAGTATTACCCTGAACAGATAAATGTAGGAGTGTAAGGGAGTCTGAACAGAGAATTTTCCATTGTGTCCCTTCCATGTTTTTGTCCCTACAGCTAATCTTCCCCAAACCCTCTTTCACAAGACATTGGTCCCAAACTGTCCCTCCTCACCCATCTGGATAAAGTCCAAAATGATCCAACAATGGTTGCTCTTCTCTAAGAACAATTCCTCCATCTTCCTGACCAATTATTCCTGAAAGGAGATAAACTCCCGGTGACCCACTCATCCCCCTTATAAAATATACTACCACTACCCTCTTTCCCCAAATTAGAATGTTCCTTTGACATCCTTTCTCATGCCCAGCATTTTGAACAAAGGCTTATTCTTTGCTCTGATTGATTTTTGTCCATAAAGACAGGAAGCTCTACCTAATACCTAACTAATGCAGGCTTCACTAACACTGGTAATGTGAATTGTCCCTTTTTTCTGGACACCCTGGAGGTTTCCCACCTTCTTTCCCAGGGCAACACACAGTAAAAGTATTCATGATGGATGAGAGTATGCTCTTCTTCTTTAAACTGGGAGAAGGGCAACTGTGAAGAGAATGTAGGAAAAGAGGAGCAGCACAGTACTCTGCTACCCTGACCACAGGAGTCTTGTCAGGAAAGAAACATGGAAATTGAGGATAGAAAAATGATTCCTGTAGCACAACTTGCATACCAACGTTTGAAGAGCACTGGTTTAATATGTCTGAAGTACAAATTACAAGGAAAGAAGCCACCATGAGCAGTCTTTGTTAAACTGAAGATTCAGACCCACAAATACAGCACTTAAAGGAATTACCAGACAGCAAATAAAAGTTTAAATTTTAAAAATATTGAAAGAAATTAGTATTTTTAAAAATATGGTAATAGAAGAGTATCAGAAATGTCTATGCCAATTTGAAAACAAACAAACAAAACCCAGAACATCTAGAAATAAAAAATGAAAGCAGAAACTCTACAAATAGATTATGCAATAGGGTACCTATATGGAGGTAAACACAGACCTAAAGAAATTACACCAAATGACATTCAGAGAGACAAAGGGATGCTAACTATGAAAGCACCGAGACAAAGAAATAAAGGAGAAAAGTGCAATACATGTCTAATCAAAATTTTAGTAGAGAATAGGGATAACAGAGAAGCAATATTCAAAATCCCAAACAAGGTGCTATATGTATAAAAGGATATCAAGGCCTAGAAAATCGGAATACAGATCATACGGAAAAGATTAATAAACTGGCCATATTTATAAATTAATAACTTTTAAACACAAAAGGACTTCATCAGTAGAGTGAAAAATCAAACTATGAACTTGGAGAAGGCTTTGCAATGCATATAACAAAGAATTAGTATCTAGATTATTAAGAAAAGACAAATGGTGAAATAGAAAAATGGTCAAAAGCAATATAGGTATTTGGAAAGAGAATCACAAATGGTTGATTAACATATGAAAAGACGCTCAACCTCATTAAGACTCAGTGAATTGCAAATTTCGCTCCACTGAGGCACCATTTCATGCTCACCAGATTGGCAAAATTTAAAAACTTTAATAACATCAAATATGGTGGGTACATTAGGGCTCATTTTATTATTCACTAAACTGTATACACACATTATATATGTTCTTTAATATGCATATGTTTCAAAACAAAAATATTCTTAAGTGCCATCTGGATTCAACAATAAAAATGTTTGTGACCCTGCTGAGATCAGCTTCAGTGAAATGGGCATGAAAACCAGACTGCAATGAACTGAAAAGGATGTATAAGATAATGATGTAAAGACAACTCCAGACAACCATTTCAAGCTTATCTTTGAGGTTGGGCAGACAGGAAAGCAACTTTAGGGAATGTCATAGTGATAGCTTCTTTTCTTTTCTTTTTGAAATAAAGGAAACTGGGGCAAACTTAGAAAGAAGCAGGATAATGACACAGGAAATAAAGGGTCCCTGGGTAGTCACAAAGGTATACAACATACAGCCCATGAATAGGGATTAGGTTTAGACAGGAACAAGGGTTCCTATTTCATTGTTACGAGAGATTGCCTCTTTGTCCCTAGCACATCATTTTTCTCCTTGATCTAACCACTCCAGTTACAATGGCCTCCTAGATCCTCCAAGCAGCCCCTTGCCTCAGGACTTCTGTACTGTTATCCCCTCTATGGAGAAGAGGGAATACTTTCCCAGATGAATACTTTCCCTGCTTTTCACTCAAGTCTGCTCAGATGTGAACACAGTGAACTGGCTCCCAGACCACTTGGAAAGTGAAACCCCTTCTTCATGCACTACCTTGCTCCTGTTACGCCCTATTCTCAATCCCTGCTTTATTTTGTACTCCATCACCTTCTAAATATTCTATATACTATGCTCATTCTTATTGTTGAATCTCCCATTCCATTATATGTAAGCTCCATGAATGCAGAAACTGTAGCCACTCTGCCTGGTAATGCTTGATACAGGGAGAAGCTCAACGGATACGCGCTGAAGGAATGATTAATGGTTCTTGCTCGAGGAACCTGAAGAACAAGTATAATAGAAATCATGCGGTAAGATTTGAACAAGATGAAGAAAAGCCTAGAGAAGAACCAACTTACTGACTACAAAAGGAGTGGCATCTGAGTTAGATCTTAAATCATGAGGAATTTGCTAAGTGGAGAAAAAAGGTAGACATGCCAAGGTGAAGGACACGGAGGTTTGAAAGGGCCTTGCACATGAGAAATGAAAATCGAATATGGCAGACATGATAGTGGACCAGATTTTAGCAAACCTGGTAACAGTCACAACGGAGGACAAATTACATTGAGCTGAACTCTAAAAATCCTTTTCAAAAGTTTTACAGTTGCCTCGTTACTTATTTGCAGTCAAGTTAGCGTATGGAATATAAAATAGAGTTGACATAACATTACTAAAACGACTCTCTTCACTGCAAAGGAAAAAACTTTGAACAGATTTAATCCCTGTTTTCCATCAACTGTAGAGCGTGTGTATCACAAGTGAGAATACTGCTACCAAAGCCCTCTACCCTAGGTATTATTTAAGTCAAGACTAAAAATTCTCACTGGTGGGAGAGAGCAGTCCGGATGTAGACGTGGGAATTGTCAGATTCAAATGCTTGTTTGGCAGCAGACGCTCTCCATTTAACCACGGCTTGCATCTGTCATCATTAACCTGCCTAAGGCTATGTTTACAATTAGTCTGTATTCTTTGGTCCGCATCACTCCTGCCTTTGGGGCACACTCTCCTTCGATTTAGCTCCAGCTCAATTACTCAAACTAACTCAAGTTATTTTCAGGATTCCCTGGTGGAGACAAGAGGCTCTTGTGTGTACACACAGAAAGAGCAAACAAACAAAACCACCCTGGGGCAGTGTGGTTCGGAGTTCATGAGCCCACGTAGTCAGTTTATGAATATTAAAGCACAAGGGAGGCAGGGGACACCATCACGCTTTTGAAGCTTTGGCTTTCTGGGATCGGGGAGGCGGCCGAGAGAAGGTCGAGCTCCCAGAGTAGGGCGGGCCAGGGGTCAGAGCTCAGGTCTAAAGTCAGGGGGGCTAGGCCTGCCCCAGGAACAACAGAGTGGTAGGTGGGGCCCGGAAGGTAAGGGGGTGCGCGGCGACTCGGAAAGACTCACAGTAATAGGCCACAACAGGGTCCCGCTTGTCATGTTCCTGAGCCGTCCTCAGATGATGCTGTATGCTCTTAAACTGTGGGGGGAGCGGAGGCAGCGGGGCAAGCGCAGCCATCGCTACTCCAAGACTCGCCACTTCCTAGTCGCGCGCCACCGACACTTCCGCTTCCGCCGGGCGGTCACGCGCACGAGCGCGCAAGGCCAATCCCGCCCACTTTCTTGTTGCTTAGCGACAGCCAGTCAACCACGGATTCCCAGCGGGAACAGCCTCAGCGTGCTTGGCTCCTGGCAGTTAAAGGCTAAGCAACTCCAGCGCTCTCTGCTGATGTGAAGGAGAGTTTTTGTTTCGTTTCACTTTTTTGTTCTGTGGGTTCTCCCCCACACACACCTCGCCCTGCTTTTGTGGCAAAAGGAAGGACAGAAAGGGAAAAACAAGAAGAAAATCATGTTTGTTGATTGGGAAAAAGGATAAAGGCGTGAATTGCCATTGTCATCATTCGGGAATTATGGCTTCAAGTTCCTCAGATGATATTAATAGCGTCCATAGTAACTTTTCAGATCCTAGAAATTCAATTCTTGTGTAAAATGAGAGATGATGCATTTAAACTTTTTAAATTACATTCTTCTATATTGACACATTGGATAAAATAACCAGACATTTTTTTCAACTTAAAGAAAATTGAACTTTCAATCTGAACTGGATATTGTATACTTTAGTGAATGAATAATCTGTAGATCATTTATTTTTGGAGAGTGATGAACAATTTACGAACTATTTTGACGCATTATCTCGTCAATGCACATTGAAGGTGTTCTGGTAAACTTCTTGCTCAATGCTACTGACTCATACTATTGTAGGCATCAACTTTTCCTTGTACCACCAATAACTTCAATTCTTTTTCTTTCCTCTCCCTCCCATACTATCATCTTTCACTTTACTTACGTCCTCGAGTAGCCTTCATTATTTCTTTATTTCATCTAGGTCCCCCGACTGGAGTGTTCATCATAAAACCAGTATTCATTGAAATCACATCGTTTCCAAGAAATAAGATCTCAAGCTCTGAAAATTTCCTGTCTGCTACTCCCTAGTCACTAAACCGGACTTCCAACCCCTGCAGACGCTGCTCTTGGTCTTTATATCACCCCCACTGCACATCCTTTGCCTGTTTGCAGAGTCCATTATCTTTCTTTGTGTCTGGCTTTTTTCACCAAGCAAGAAACTGAGTTCTGTATTCTCCCCAATGTCAGCAACTTGCTTACTACCACTCGAGGATGTGTTTGCAATGGACTAAATATTTGTGTCTTATATGTTAAAACCTAATGCCCAATGTGATGGTTTTAGGAGGTGGGGCCTTTGGGAAGTGATACATTACTGTTGTTTATAAGCTATCCAGTCTGTGACATTTTGTTACAGTAGCCAAAACAGACAAAAACATTATGGCTTCTTTCTCTTACTCCCACCATACTGATTTTCCAGTCAGAAATTGCTGGGTTGATAGAAAAATTAATGAAGCAAAGCAGAGTGGAATAACCATAAAGGCCTTTTCTCTGTCCTTCTGACTTCTCATTTATTCTCTTTGTATTTCTTCTTGATTCCCAGCTGTGGTTGTCCTTAAAGATCACCTAAGAAGTTTTTTTTTTAAAGATTCATATCCAACTCCTACCACCAGGCATTCAGATTTAATTGTTCTGGGTTGGATCCTAAATATCAGTATTTTGAAGGTCTTCAGGAAATTTTAATGGCATATCTAGGGTTGAGCTGCTGATGTTTCAAGACTTCCTTATTCTCTTCAAGCCAGCCTTGATTGCCTTGGTTGAAGACTGTATTCTCTGCAATTGAGATTAAGCCCACCAAATAGGAATTCTTTCACCTCCCCTCTGCCACAAAAAGTAATAATAACTAGCTAGCATTTACTGAGTATTTACTATGTATCATGCATGTTTCTAGGCACTTTATAGCAACTCATTTAGTCTTTATCACAACTCTTTGAGGAAGGTAGTAGTATCATTTTCATTATTTTACAGATGAGAAAAATGAGACACATAAAATTTATGTAATTTGTATCAGGTCACAACCAGTAAGTATGAGTGTTCATTATTAATATCCAGGTACTTTGCTTTTAGAGCCTGTGAACCTAACCACTACCACTTGACTTTAATGTCTGTCTACACCAATATATTCTTGTGTTTTGTCTTTTCTCATTGCATCATCCTATGTTTAGAAAAACAAGCATTCCTCTTCCTGATGAAAGCTGCATCTTTCTGTTATTTTCCCGATCTCTCCTTTCAGGAATGGAGTTTCTCAAGGTCTCTTGATATATTCTAGGAGAGGAGGGGCAAAAGATCCCAGTAAGTAAAATGGTTACAAGTGGATTTTACTCAATTTGCCAATGCATGTTCTTTTCTTTCTAAGTACCTTACTGCCTTCAGTAGAGGGTGATTGATGTGAGGGAGGAAAGTAACAGAAATACTGTTACTATAACAGTACATTGAAGTTATGCCATGAATCTAAGTAAATATGGACAACCTGAAGTTGATTTTTCTTGATGTTTTGCAATGAAAAATTTACTATGGTAGTTTACTATGAAGAAGGACCTAAACTTTTCTTTTTCATCCAGTTCTGATCAATTGTTGAAGGGTTTAACATCACCCTCCAGGATGGGGCTAGAATCTTGGCCAGTGAGGGGAGGGCAGGTATAGGAAGTAGAGGCAACTATTTTGGTAGCAAATGGCAGGGCTCAACCAATGTAATCAGGGTACTCTATAGCTATTGCTGTATCTTTTGGGTGCATTGCATATGGTAGAAATTTGGCTTCTGGTATTATGAGACTCCTATTATTTTATCATCCCCTAAAAAGCCCTTTTAAGGAGAGGGCTTTTCCTTAAAAGTTCATGGAGAAGAGTGAAAGAGAAGACCCAGATGAGTAAGCCAGGCCCATTTACACATCCATGGCTGGGACAGGGATGGATGTAAAATTTGCAGCTCATTTTTTCAACATAGATATTTAATTGTTCTGGCATCATTAAATTTTGTTGGTGAATATTAAAAATTAACTATATATGTGTAGAACTATTTTGGGTCTATTATTCCTGTAAATCAATATACCTATCCTCATGCAAATCCCACACTATTTTGATTACTGTGCCTTTATAGTAAGTCTTGATAGTATGTGGTATAAGTCCTCTACTTTTATTTTGCTTTTTCAAAAATGTGTTGGCAATTTTAGGTTTTTTGTATATACACATAAATTTTTAAAGCTGCTTGTTAATTTCTAAACAGCTTGCTAGATTTTGACTGGAATTGTATGGGATCTACAGGTCAATTTGTAGTTATAAAAGTTTAAGGCTTCCAAACCATGAATGTAGTTTATTCCATTTATTTAAACCATGTTTAATTTCTTTCAGCATTGTTTTGTAGTTTTCGTTTCACAGATCTAGCACATCTATTGTAAAATTTATTCCTATGTGTTTCATGTTTTTGAATATTATTTCAAATGACTTTTTAAATTTAAATTTAATTTTTTATTACTCTACAGAAATATTAACCTTAATAAATTTAATTACTTACTCTAGTAGATTTTTGTACATCCTTTAGAATTTTCTATGTACATGATCATATCTGTGAATAAAAACAATATTACTTCATTTCTGATGTGTATATCTTTTTTTGCCTTATAATATTTATTAAATAAATATATACTCAAAGTATATATTTATTTTGTTTTTTCTTTGTCTTATTGATCTCCGGTTCAATGTTAAACAGTAGTAAAAGTAGACATCTTTGCCTTTTTCCCTGATTATAGAAGAAATTGTTCATTCTTTTGCTATTAAGAGGGATGTTTCCTGCAGATTTTTAAAAGTTTTTTTCTTTTTCTTTTATTAGTTTCAGGTGTACAAAGCAAAGTAATAGACATTTACAACCCTCATAAAGTAATAACCCACCCCCCAAGCTACTACCCCTCTGACATCTTATATAGCTGTTACAATACCATCGACTATCTTCCCTATGTTGTACTCCACATCCCATGATTATATATACCTATATATTTAGTTATAGTTGACATTCAATATTATTCTGCTTTAGCTTCAGGTGTATACACACTGGTCAGACATCTACACAGCCTATGATGTGATCCCCCTGGTAAGTCCAGTGCCCATCTGGCACCTTACATGATCTCTACAGCATTATTGATTATATTCCCCATACTGTATTAGCTACAAATTTGCATTTCCTAATGCCTTTACCTTTTTCACCCTGCCCCCAATCTCATTCCCATCCATTACCCTCATAGATCTAGTACCTATCTGGCACTATACCTAGTTATTACAACATTATTGAGTATATTCCTTATGCTATACCCTACATCCCTATGACTACTGTGTAACAACCAATTTGTTCTTAATCCCTTCCCCTTTCACCCATCCTTAACCTCCCTCCTATCTTAAAGAAGTCCCTCTAAGATTCCTGTAATATTGGTTTGGTGGTGACGAACTCCGTCAGCTTTGTCTTGTCTGGAAGCTCCTTATCTGTCCTTCAATTCTAAATGACAGACTTGCTGGGTAGAGCAATCTTGGTTGTATGTCGTTGCTTCTCATCACTTGGAATATTTCCTGCTACTCCCTTCTTGCCTGCAAAGTTTCTGTAGAGCAATCAGCTGACAGTCTTATGGGAGCTCCCTTGTAGGTAACTAACTGGTTTCCTCTTGTTACTTTTAAGATTTTCTCTTTGTATTTAATCTTTAGCATTTTAATTATGATGTGTTTTGGTGTTGGCCTCTTTGGGTTCATATTGTTTGGAACTCTGTGCTTCCTGGGCATGAATGTCTATTGCCTTCACCAGGTTAGGGAAGTTTTCTGTCATTATTTCTTCAAATAGGATTTCAATTCCTTGCTTTCTTTCTTCTCCCTCTGGTACCCTTATTAAAGTCTCCTCAATTTTTTGGATTATTTTTTCTTTTTGTTTTTCTGGTTGGGTGTTTTCTACTACTTTATCTTCTACATCACTGGTTGGATCCTCTGCTTCATCTAATCTACTGTGGATTCCCTGTGATGTATTCTTCATTTCTGTTATTGTATCCTTTATTTCTGACTCATTCGTTTTTATGGTTTTCATATTCGTTTTTATGCTTCCTACCTCTCTGTTAAAGTTCTCCCTAAGATCATTGA